AATGAAAACACAATCAAATCATGTTTTCCAGATATTTGTCTAACAAATTGACTCATCCCTTATAGTGACAAGTTTTTGATGAGGCAAATATTGAAGGCAAAGTGCCACATAGGCCACTCAGAGTACTCATTTGCATCAAAATGTTTCCTCATCCTTTGGAGATGCCTATGCATGGATGAGAAAGTGAGTAATCCCTAGAGTTAGGCTAAGCGGTGAGGATGAGCACGAACGAAATAAGTTAGGGAAAAAAGTTTCAAGTTGTAATTTAAACCTAGGCTAGGGAACGGGTTCAATTCCCTCTATTATAACAAAAAAGAAATTTAATGTTTACTTACTTTACTACTCTTAATTTAAAAATATTTTAATAATTATAATAAGTATGATTAACATCTTATTTGATTGACAAAGAGAAATGTTTTAAATAATTACTAGCAATTCTGGAGAAATAAGCTTATCTGATTAACAAGAGATTTGTGGTAAGACAAGAGTATAGTGGGAGAAAAACGTAAATTTAATTGTTAACTATGTGTTGCCTCTTAGTACTACGGTTTAGTGATATTCTTTTTCGTTTGCAAGTGAGAGGTCTTAGGTTCGATTCTCGTTAAAGGCGAATTTGAACCATATCATTGCTAGCCCATCGTGAGGCTTAACTTACTCCTCCACCCCTTAGACCATTTCCAACCCTTGACCTAAAACCTAAACTTTTTAGCCCAGAAAATTTAGGTTTTAACCCAGAAACAACTTTTTTGCTCAAATCCTTCTGACATAAAATTTTAGCCCCATATTATTAAAGAATGAATTTAAGCTATTTTTTTTCTTAAAGTAACATTTTTAAAAGAAAAAAATTATGTAGACTATCCTAATTTAATTTTTATGAACATTTTAACCTAAACATATTTAGATTCTGACAAATACTGAAAAATCACAAACCGACACCATGAAACTTGTTAAACACTATGAAAAATATGAAACACATAAAATATTTTTTTTAATTACTTTAGCCATTAGATTTAAATTTGGACCGTAATTTTTTTTTTTTTTGCCATTGAATTTCATCAAATTAGATCTTAACCGTTCAATTCAATGAATTTATAAATATAAAACTAAATAAAATATACATATATGGTGGGCCAACCTTACTAATCATGGGCTAAATTTGACTTTGTTTTAGGTTTTAGGTCCAATTTTAAGCTTGGGTTGGGGTGGATTTTGGAAGGGGGGAATAGAAGGGGAAAAATAGGTTATAAGCCAGGGTTGGAGATGGTTTTAGTGTTGTATCTAAAGAAGTTGCGGTTCTATTTCAAAATTATTTGCCAATGGTGGGAATGAATGAGGATCCTTTTCGGATCCTCTTTTTTAGGATCCTGGGGATCATTTAATCGTGTTCGTCCATCGTAAATCGTGTGGTCAGTTTTCGTCATATACTATTTGTATTCAATTTTAAATAAAAAGTTTAAAATAATCTTTGACTGCACGATTTACAATGAACGGACACGATTAAAGGATCTCCAGGATCCTTACAAAGAAGATCCGGAGAGATCCTCATTCAGTGGGAATGACCCAACTTATTAAAGTTGCAATGTTTCTTAACTATCTGATGTGAGAATAATTTACATTCTTACACGCCTTTACAAATGCAGAAATTTCAAATCTAAGACGTGGATAGTTCAACTAGGTGATGCAGAATACCTATGGCTATTACTCTTCGCTAATGGCCCATCTTGATTTGATATTATGAAGAAAGTTTCATATTCCCAAACTAATTGAAAATGGGAGGAATGACCTAAATTCTTGGAGAATCTCCAACCAAGATGTCAAAATGCCACAGTGGACAAAGAAAACTATTTTTTACAGCAAAAATGGCTCCAAAAGATGAGCCAAATGCTGACATAGGTTGAAGGAAGAAAGTCTAGTGTAAAAAATGGCAGCAACCAAGTCTGACGCCAATCTCTTCTGTAAACTGACTAATGATGAGATCCACCATAAATATAGCTTCTTTTGTGGCTATATAACCTTGAGTTTACGATCTTCAGATGATCTCCAATTCTAGGATTAAAACCTAAAATTTAGGTTTTAAACCAATCCAATCGTTCTTTAATGGTTGAACTTAAAATAAGTTTTGGGCTAAAACTTAAAATTTGGGCAACTTTAATCCTGAATTTAGGCTAGAGTTAAAAAGCTAGCCCACCAAAATTTAGGTTTTAAACTATCACAGTCCTTCTCCATTGGTTGGACCTAAAATAAGTTTTGGGTTAAAACCTAAAATTTGGGCAAATTTAACCCATAATTTAGATAAGGGTTAAAAGGCTGGCCCACCTTATGCGCATGGACGTGCCCAGAAAAGTAGAGGCCGCAGCAAGGCGACGCACCCAACGCACGAGGCGCATGAGGGTTGGAAGGAGGGCGACCCTCTGACGAGAATGTCAGCCACCCAAAAATTTATAATACATATTTCATGGGGTCGATTTAGTGAATTTTCAGCTTTTATTGGAATCTAAATATTTTTAGGTTAAAATATTCTTAAAAATAAATTATGATAATCTACATAAATTTTGTTTAAAAAAAAAGTTACCGAAAAATGTAGCCTAACTTTTGTTTAATAATTTGGGGCTAAAATTTTAACCCAGAACCATTAAAGCGGAAAAACTATTTATGGATTAAGACCTAAATTTTCTGCGTTATAAATTTAGGTTTTAACCTCAACTATTAGTCTCAATAACCAAGTCATAAATATTACAAAAATAATAAAATAAAATAAAGTATTAACATATTGGGTGTAGTGGGAAGCTTTCATAGTATCAAATTGTCACATAAGCCATCAAATACAAATTTTGATGAATTTAACATCTCCATTAAAGACGCTTATAAGCTCTTTTCTTCACATATGCATTAGGTTTTCCATTTAATATAAGTGTGATTAGGAACATAACAGAAACTTTCCAAAACGGATGTAAAGGAGCCTTCAATTAGATAATACCCGTTGTTTGACATATGCTATGCATGTTAAATTTCGAATATACTCAACAATTCTCTTTCTACACTTAAAATGAAAAAGAACAAAAAAATTAAGAAATAACATTTCAGCACTAGAAACTCCAGCCACCACCCTCAATTTCTAATTCTTCTCAACCCCCATTGCTACCTACAATGAAAACCCCAAAAATATTAGCCATCATACCCCTCTCCTGACTTTTCCCATGCCATATAACAACTCCCTCTTCCACGCAATCCCTCTAACATGTCCGAATTCTGTTGAAACTGTAGACCAATCGAATTTAACCGTGTTAGACCATTGAGTGTACGATACATGTGTAGAATCACACTTTTAAAATTATCATAAATTTTTTCAAAGAAAAAAAATATTGACATAAATTACTCTTGGGTCTTTTTGATGGTGGGTTGTTAGAGGATAAGGTTCTTCGAATTTCCAAATTGTTGTGGGTGGTAGGGGAGGAGCCAATGGAGAGTTGGAGAGAGGTAGAAATGAGGGTGGTTGAAGTTTGGAGAGATAGGGTGGCCAGAGTTGCCTATTGCTGATTTTTTTTTTTTGGGCTATCGTGAGTGTAGAAAGAGAATTATTGGGCACATTTGGAATTTCAAAATAAAAATAATAATAAATTGAGTGTAGAAAAAGAATAAATAGGTCCAAATAAAATTTCTCATCTACTAAAATTTTGTTTTCAGTGTTGGATGGGCTATAGCCTAACCAAACTGGCCCTAAATTCATTCTGCACAACTCAATTTTTACGTATTAACTTATCTTTATTTTTGAGTCCAAAGTATTTGAGTGTTTATAATTTTTCAGAATTAATGTTTTTAATTTCCTTCTACATAAATGAATTATGTTAAAAGCCCTTTTGCTTATAGTATAAGTTAAGCAAAAGCATACGCTCATAAAATCAAGAGAAAAAGCACCAATTTCCTTTCTTTGAGAACCTTGCTCAGGAAAGTTAATCAGCAGGCACCAAAGACCCGGTGCTCCGTTTAAGAGGCGACCGGCTTTATCTTTCAACTCTCGATCCACTTGTTAAAAGCGATCAAATAAAGCTAACAAATACCCCATGCACGAAACCCTAATCTAATACTGGTGGAAGCAACACACAACCGACATTGCATTGGGAAATCCACTTAAGCAGGAAGAAAATGAATCTACCGATGTATTTTAAATACATATTCCTCAGAGTATATAATATCTACCAAAGAAAATGAATCTACCATACCATATACCTTCTCAGTTGAATTGAAAAAAGGAAAGTCTTAAAAGGAGGGCACACGTAGGGGGCACCACTAAAGCCTAAAGTACCATTTCTTCCTATTCCATTGCTTTTCAAGCTTTGTCCTCATCTGCTTTATCTTTTCACTTGGCTTCTACACCTCATATGGGCTCTATTATTGTCAAGGGTCATTAACTAACATCGATATTTCTTCAAATTGGATGAAGAAGCTCACTAGTGATCTCTATCAATTTATTCCCTTTTATCCAACCATATACCAAGACAAAGCTAATCTTCTTTACGGAAACATTCCTATCTAGGTCGTAACATAGAGTACTGTTCTTTTTTTATAGACTCATCGTCAAATAAATACTTATATTATTTGTGAATATAATTTACACATTTGATCAAACTATCAATTTCACTGAATACTTCAAATTTACACAGTTTGAGAAGATAACATTTCTCTCACAACAATTAATTGATTATAGTGACTAAATAATCTCAAAACATGGATCAAATTGGTATTAAATTTGATTAATGATCAAGTGCTTGTGTACTATCTTCACTCATATGATTGGGTAGTTAGAGGCCTCTGATATGAATCCATCTTATGAAAGTTGCACCAACAGATCAATCTCTTACTTCGATTATTGCATTCATAGTGGCTGACATCAGATTGATAAAGTGCCTTATCACAAAAACCATGCGTGGAACACATGGACGGTGAAGATGCAAAATCAGCAATATTATAGTCCCATTACAATAATCATAGAGTACTTCAAAATGGAAAATGGGTAGTATATATACCAGTACCGGACAGCAAAGTTTCCATGTACTAAAAAGAAGAAAGCAGCAGCAGCAGAAGAAGGAATCAGAGAGACAAACAAGGCCCAAGGGAATTGAAAAGATAAGGAAAAAAGGAAAGTAAAAGGCTCATCAAAAGAGAAAATTATCAGTAATGAAAATGGTGCAAGATCAAGAACAGATCAGAAAGGGGCCATGGACTGAGCAAGAGGACTTCCAGTTGGTGTGCTTTGTGGGCCTGTTTGGAGACAGGCGATGGGATTTCATAGCCAAAGTTTCAGGTTTGAAGGTGGAGGGAGACAAATAATAGGTATGGTAATCTGGAGATGGTCAGCTTTTGCAAGGAGCTACCATTTAACCAACATATATGGTGGTTTTGTTACTTGTAGGTTTGAACAGAACAGGTAAGAGTTGCAGGTTAAGATGGGTTAACTACTTGCACCCTGACCTCAAAAGAGGAAAGATGACTCCTCAAGAAGAGCGCCTAGTTCTTGAGCTTCACTCCAAATGGGGAAATAGGTTTGACCTAAAAAAAGCATCTCAATTGTTAATTCATGTTTTAAGTCATTTGTTTTGTATTATCTAACATTTGAATGGTAAGACTTTAATATGATATGTTGGTAGACTGTAAATTAGACCAATAAAATCATTTTTAATATATAAGATTTTGATTTATAGTCTGATAACATAAAAAAAAAAATCGGAATATTTGTCAGACATCCTAAATTTCAATTATTTTGAATTTTATTTTACTTGATATGGAATGAAAAATTTCTTGCAGATGGTCCAGAATTGCTAGAAAATTACCTGGGAGGACAGACAATGAGATCAAGAACTACTGGAGGACTCATATGAGGAAGAAGGCACAAGAGAAAAAGAGGGCCATGTCTCCCTCATCATCTTCTTCCAATTGTTCCTCCTCATCAAACATCACCACAACTGAAGGAGGAGAAAGCTTTTATGACACCGGGGGAAAGAAACCCAAGGCTTCATCAGGAGGAAAGAAAACTGGAGGAGGAGACGAAGTGAAAGAAGACGAGAAAAGGGAGCAAAGGGAGTACTCACTCGATGATATATGGAAGGACATCAATCTGCCAGAAGTGAGCAGTATTGTACCAGTTTATGATGGCAACCTTTCTTCTTGTCCTCTAATGGCTTCTCCGACGCCATGGGAATACTTTTCCGACTCGCTTTGGAAAATGGATTTAGAAGAAGAGAGTAAGAATATGTTTCTTCCTACACCAAGTGGTGATCACCAATTTCTGTCATGCTATGAATATGGAAAAGCATCTCTAACTGGCTAACGATGATTACGATCTTCTTTTCTAAGATTGGTTCATATATGTGAAATAGTGTTAAATTAAGGAAAGCTTCTAACCTGTATAATAACATGGGTCTGATCTGCTGCACCAGCCAGCCATCAGCTGCAGATCACTTTGTTTATGCATTGCTGTAGTTCCTATGCTCTCTTTGTCTTGTGTGTTTTTTCAATTTCCAGTGAGGATTGAGGAAAGAGAGAACTTCAAAGCTTGCTATCATGTTGGTATGGCATGTTCGTGAAAGTATAGTGTATATGTTTTTAAGGTTTAATTTTGAATCAAATTGGTGTGGTCTACCACCTTTAAATGTTTCTTTCTTGATTTAGCCCTTATTTATATGTTATTATCGAAACTATATGTAAGTTCTTCCGGAAATAAGGAACGGAAAGTATGCAGACATAAAATTTGTCGTTGAAATTGTTCTGACGAAGAAGTTCTAAATACCAAAGTTTTCAGCAATTTCACTCCAATCAAGTGTTTGGTAAATTGGAAATGATACTAGATTATCAGGGCAACAGAAACCATAAAAAAACAAGTTTGTGCACTTAATTAATATCCAAATACTTATATTTACACTCAAATTAAAATAATTGAACCATACATTTATAAAGAATTTTGAATTATGAGCATAAGAACCTTCAGGAAACGAACAAGGTTCTTCTATTCTAGCTTTCCCAGATACCGTTTTGCTTTTACTTTTCCTTGAAAATAAAAAGCTACAACTTTTTCTGCAACAAGAAAAGTAGATAAATTCTGGGTATTATGAATGAATTATTTACTAATTAACTGGTTGAAAACTAAGGATTAGCACGTGAACAAAGTGGGGATGAAATGATTTAATTGGGACATCAATTTATAAAAGGAAAACTAATGAAAAAGGTTTGAAAACTTTGAATTTTAATGTAAAGGACAAAATAAAGGGTAAAGTGAATAGTACCAGGATTGACTTTTTAGTGTAAAAATGTGGTTTTTCGTTAAAGTGAACAGTACCGGGTGCTTTTCGTTAAAGTTCCCAATTTATAAAAGGACCCAGCATGGAGAAAAACTCCTTTTGAGGAGTGTGGTCCAGGTGCTCTTATTATAAATCCTTTTGCTAATTAAACTAGCTAGTACTTTAGTGGTTATATGTCCAAATCCATTTTCTATAAACTTTGTTTAATTATTCATAGAGTAGTGGTCCATTTAGAACTGCACAAACATATTCTCCAGTAGCATCACCTTGCCATGCGCAAAACCATTTAATATTTCATTTCCTGATGAAAACAAACTCAGAAAGCACTTAGATATATAGAGATCTCCTAGTTAATTAATGATCATGGAAATTCACCTCAAATCTTTCCAAGAACACAGTTGGGATTTCTTTACTTTCTTTTTCTTTTTGGAATATAAATCTATAGGCAAAAGGCAAAATCAAACCAAGAACAAAAGGCAAAATCGATTTATTAATCATTTATACATTACAAACTAATGGTAAAGATCAAACAAAACAAAGAAAGGTATAAAGAAAGTCTGCCCGGAAAAAAAAAAATTCTAACAATGAGGTAGGAGTTAGGATTGGAGATCAAGAAGTACCAAGAGTGAACGTTTTCGTTATCTTGGATCTATCTTGCAAAATAACAGAGAATTATATAGAGATCTCAGCCACAAAATACAAGGTGGATGGATGAAGTGGAAGAGTGCATCAGATATGTTGTGCGATCGTCGTATACTACTAAAGCTGAAGGGAAATTTTATAGGATGACAATAAGGCCAACGATGTTTTATGCACGGAATGTTGGGAGGTCAAAAAGCAACACGTGCAAAAAAATGAGAGTAGCCAGAATGATAATGCTTTGTTGGATGTGTGGGCACAGGAGAAATGATAAGATGAAGAACAATAATATATGAGGTAAAGTAGGTGTGGCCACTATTAAAGATAAGATGAGAGAAATGTTAAGGGTACAAGTCAGCAAAACAGTTAGTAATACAGTTAGTAAGGTTGTTAGTATTTGGTTAAAGTAGTTAGGATTTCTCTTATAAAAACAGTATGTGTAATCTGCATTTAGTTAGTTAATACAAATCATATTTCTCTTTCTAAACTCTCTCTCTCTCTCTCTCTCTAAAACTTTATGTGTTCATCCTTATGTAATCATCATTTCTTCTTGATTTTCCCTTCAATTCTCAAACATTGCAATGTAGTTAACATGGTATCAGAGCCACCAAGCTCACGCCATGGATTCTGGTGGTTCCGCTTTTTTATTAGATTTCATCTTCTAGTTGTATTTTCTCTTCAGATTTTCTTTAGAAATTCCTTTAAGTTCTTCGGTGCTTCCGCGATCATCCTGTAACTTCTAGGTTGATTTTCTGTTCTTGAATTCGGGAATTTTTTAGATTTTCATCAAGTTCTTCACCTCGAAAGAAGATGGAATGTCAAATAAATGTCAATGCTTTGGGAGGAAGACGACGACCATTGTTCCTTCACCACCGCCGACCTCACCACAATCGAGCACTGTCTCTGGGTCGTCATGCCTTTCATGACCTTCGGCTATCTGTAATTCGTAAAAATCACCCCATCTGCTTTTGATCTGGGGTTGTTGTTGCTATATTCCATAGTTCTGTACCTAATGGTCTGCAATCTTTCTATGCGAAGGTCACTGCATTGGAGCACTTATTGGCTTATAATGCTTATGGTCATCAATTTATGGTGCGTTTTCTTCAGCGTTTTCGATATTGTCTGCGAATTTGATTTGTGCTTTGCTCTCTGGTGTGGAAGAAAGTTTAGACCTTTATGTAGTCCAAGTGTTTGTCGAAATGTCCACCTTAGAATTTTCATGTGAAGGTTAAGTTTTTCAGCCACTTCTTCTGAATTTCTTACGATGAATGTTTTTTAGTATTCTGTAAATCAATTAGTTTGCTGTTGTGGGCATGAAGTCATTCAGTTGATATGTTGAGTATTAAAGAGCTCATAGCCATCTTTCTTGTTAATCTTTTATGGGTTCTTGCAATTGTTTGTGATATTTGCTTTCAAGATTCTTCATTGTGTCAAGATCAATGTTTATGATATTTGGGATATTTGGATTCAAGAATATTCGTCATTGCTGGATTGTAAAATTTGTATGGTAGTGTCCAGTTTTTTCTACGCTTCACTGATATTCTGCAAGTTTGTTGGGTTTGATCTTTCTGTAACTCTTGATATATTTGGAGAAATGGGTGTGAATTCTTGCATTCTTGCATGTACAATTTTGTGGTTGTTTAAATTATTATTTTGTGCCAAAATGAGAAGTTTAATGTCTGCGAAGATTGTCCAAAGTGCTTTTCCTTTCACAACTAAGGAGTCATTTGTGAAAAATGTCTTGCAAAAGAAGAAAATTGCAATGGATGAGTTTCTGATGTCAGAAAATTTGACTTTACGACCTGGAGTTGAAGAGTTTATTGATGATGCATACAAGGAAGGAGTACCTATTGTCGTACAAACAACCCATAATAAAAGTGGGAATTAAATTGCCAGATCAATTGTTGAAAAGCTTGGCGAGGAAAAAGTTTCAAAGCTAAAAATGAATCTTATTAAGGAGTTTGTACAGTATATTTCCTTTCACAACTTATAATGTTGAGTCTAACCAACTCAGTTGTTAGCATGAATCTACAGTAAGTCCAGTTATACGATGAAGTTTGAAGAAGTTGTACACACTCGCTTAACTTCGGAGTTCCGATGGAACCCGAAGCCAGTGAGCTCCCAAAAGGCCTCGTGCTAGGTAGGGATGAGAATATACATATAAGGATCACTCCCATGGGTGATGTGGGATCTTAAAATCCACCCCCTTAGGGGCCCGACGTCCTCGTCGGCACACCACAGCCAGGGTTAGGCTCTGATACCAAATTGTCACATCTCGGCCTAGAGTCTACCATATCCCAGGCCCGCTCCACCGCCGTAGCACGATATTGTCCGTTTTGGGCCCTAACCACGCATTCACAGTTTTGTTTCTGAGAACTCACACGAGACCTTTCCAGTGGTTCACCCATCATGGGAGTGCTCTCGTGTGCTACTCGCTTAACTTCCGAGTTCCGATGAACTCCGAAGCCAGTGAGCTCCCAAAAGGCCTCGTGCTAGGTAGGGATGGGAATATACATATAAAGATCACTCCCCTAGGTGATGTGGGATCTTACAATTGATATCCGTATGACGTAATTTGATTATTTTGACTTAGTTTCATTACGATACCTTACTTGGTCAAAATATGAATCAACGATCCGATCGTTGGATCGTCACCAAACCTTAATGTGTGATAGAACATAATATTTTTTAATCATAGAAACTTACGGATCGGGAATCCGACGTACGGATCTTCCCTAATTGGATTTCTAAGTTTGTAAAATATATTGTTAACCACCACTTAATTCTAGTAGTTGGCGGATATCCGATTGTCAGATCGCGATGGGATTTTGGTCGACATGTCTCGAAACGTTCTAATTAATAAAATTAGTACTATGGAAGGCTAAGTAAAATCTAGTGGGACCACATTGGTTTGAGATTGACTTGAATATATGTGATATAGCTATTACCTTGATTTCTTATATTAATATCATCTGTGAATATGATATGGGTTATAAATGAAATTCTATTGAAATGTGAATTATTACATATATATATATATACACACACATACATACATACTATAGACCTATGTTTATTGAATGTGAATTCTATTGAAGTGTTATTTTTATTTCTGGCCATCGATCTATTTTCATTAAGTATGATTTGACTTATGCTTTGGAAATATGGTTTGTATTGTATGATTGGATTGATGTGATTAAATGTGAGGGCTAGTAGTTGACCGTTAACCTATTGTCATAGGGTTTGTTATTTAGACACTTGTTTCACATATTGTTTCCTTATTTCATTTTTTGTGTCATTCAGCCTTCTAAATTAAGTACTTGGTTCTTGTATTGTTTCTTCAAGCCGTTGTTGTATCCCTTGGTCTTCCACTCGATTCTGTTGAGTGATGGTCCGAAATCGTATCCATCTTGTATTCCATTGGGTGGTTATATATGCATGGAACTCCGCGATTTCGTTGAGTGATGGTCCGGAATCGTATCCTGAGTTTGATTATGTTGAGTGGTCCTGAATCCCTTCTATTATGCGATTTTGTTGAGTGATGGTCCGAAATCGTATCCATCTTGTATTCCATTGGGTGGTTCTATATGCATGGTACTCCGCGATTCCGTTGAGTGATGGTTTAGAATCGTATCCTGAGTTTGATTCCATTGAGTGGTCCGGAATCCCTTTGGTGACTTGCTTCCTTGGATTTGATTTCAGCTTCAGAGATGTAAGCTTCGACCGAACTGTGTCGCTCTAGCCCTGCATGTCAGTGTGTAGTATGGGTTATTATTTGGTGTGATTATTGGTTGTTGTTGGATGTAATTGTTATGATTATGATATACCGTTGACCAATATGGCTATAGATTATTATTGCGCCTCGTCGATTGTTCCTTGAGATGTTGCACGCTTTGAATTGTGAATTATGTTGAAATATGGTAGTTTATGTGATGAATATTCGAGTGTAGAGAAAAGTTAAACTACGAATAGCTTGATCCCTATTGAGGGTACGTAGGGAGTCTAACGAAGAGGTTAGATGCAGCCATAAAGTATACGCAAAATTATTATGCATTTGGATCTTGAATTATATTTTGTGCATACCCAAATGGCGGGGTATGTGGAGTTACGGGCATTTAGGGATGTCACGTGTCGATTTTGGACGTATGTCGGGATCGGGGCGTGACAACAGATGTTCTTCCAATCTCAAACTGGGTTTCCCCGGTTGAGATTGAGGGGGAGTATTAAGGGTACAAGTCAACAAAACAGTTACAAATACAGTTAGTAAGGTTATTAGTATTTGGTTAAAGTAGTTAGGATTTCTCTTATAAAAATAGTGTGTGTAATCTTCATTTAGTCAGTTAATACAAATCCTATTTCTCTCTCTAAACTCTCTCTCTCTCTCTCTCTCTCTCTCTCTCTCTAAAACTCTCTGTGTTCATCCTTCTGTAATCATTATTTCTTCTTGATTTTCCCTTCAATTCCCATACATTGCAATGTAGTTAACAAGAAAGTCAGTTAATAAGATGATTTGGATACGTGAACCGAAGACCTAAGAATGCTTCAGTTAGAAAATGAGACTGAGATGAATGCTCAGGGCAAAAAGGGTAGAGAAAAACCTTGAAAGACTTTGAAAAAGATTAAAAAAATACGAAGTACTTGGAGCTATCGGAAATTTATTGTTGTTGTTGTTGTAAAAACAATCAATTAGCAACACTGATTACCTTTCCAACAGTTAAAAGTTAAGGCCACTAAAAGTTAATACAACACAATAACTACCGGAAAATCCTTGTGCTCTACCCTGAATTAAATTTCCTATTATTCTAAAGCAACCACATGTTCTTTGTCAAATATATCTTTATATTATATTTCCTTTCTATCCAACTTTAGCATTTCAATGGATTGCACATCAGATTTGGTAAGAATTGTAGAGATATTAACATTATCTTTTTTACAGTGCCTAGATATGATATCCGAATCTGCTTGTTCCAGTTAGTCAATGTCCAGATTGAAGTTAAATAATTGATCATTTCCAGTTATGGTTCCACGTATACAATCAATCTGCATCACCTTTGTAGTGCCTACTTAAAGTACTCATCTTTCCTTTTTCTTATTCAACAAACCGAAAAGTACACAAAGTAGTCATGCGGCAAACAAGATGATCAAAACCAACACCAAAGTAAGAAAACAAATATTTGGGTTAATATTTGGCCCGAACAACAAGTATGGAACGAATATGGCATCTATTACAAACTGCATAACAGCTTAATATCAAGGAGAAAGCCTATTTATATCTACTTTACTTTTAATTTTCTCAAAGATATATACTTCCATCTATGTGTTGCACTTCGTGGTGAAAAGTGAAAACCTTATTACTATCGCTTTTCAACCACATTAAACTTGATAGCTTTGCACGCTAATTTGACAACAATATTTGGCTTTTCTTAGAAATGTAGAAAGTATTTGAAGCGCTCCTTAAAAGAAAAGCATGTGCTCGCGCACATGCATAATTAACGTTTTTCATCAAACATTGTCAGAATCACTTTTAGTAATCTGAAAGCATTTTTAGTTATTTTAAATACTTCCAAATAACCACAATATGAGCCTATCGGTATCAACATCCCAAATGTTAATACTTACAATAATAGATCAATCATGCAGAAATTTTGTTCCATCCATTCTCTGAATATATGATCTATGGTTTCAATTGAAGAATAGCTTTGAAAAATAACGGTTTAGGGCCACTGATTTAGAGCAGTAGATGTCCGATGCTGTTCGAAACTTCCAAGTTTCTGCAAGTATATACTCTTGAGTTAGAAGAGATTGTCCAGATAACTGAATCAACCAACGGAGAATGAATAGAATACATAGGCACAACCACATAAATAAGGGAAGATGAAGTGGTATTTATGCACCGTTTTTAGCTTCTCACATACTCTTTATATTTATGGTCATCGAATTGGATAAATCAAATAAAATCAACATTCATGATTAAACAAGAAATATAAGATGTTAATAAAGTGTGCCAAAATCACTTTCTCATCAATAAACATCGACAAACTGCACAACAAGATTTATAAGGAGGGTATGTGGACTTATAATTGAGACTCCAGCCCATCAAGTAGTTGCTGAAGCCCATAAATATCCTTGACCCACTTAGGCCCAATCCAAAGTGATAACCCAACCATCACCATTATCTCCCGTCACGTCTGTAATTCTTTTTTTTTTTTTTAATATATCGATACTTTTACATTAAGGGGATAGGGGTTCGGCTAAGCCAGAAAATGGATAATTTAATTTGGTATCGAACTTACCATCCACGAGATTTGAATATAAGATCTCTCACTTTTAAATGAAGAAGAATACCATTAGATCGTAATATTGAGTGGCACCACACGAATTCTTAGTCCCAACTGTTGAAATTCGCAAAGGCAGAAATTCTATATATACTAAAACCCAAACATTTGGTTACTGTTCTAGGGCAGTGTGCGGACCAAAATGCCCCTCAATTCGTTTGTTAAGCTAATTTTTTGCCATCTTTCTACAGTAAAATGACTACCTTACCCTCCCAAGCCACGCGTTCATCCTCTCTGGTTTCGATTTCTTTGGGTGCTTCGGTTCTCTCTCTCCATTATTAGTTTTTGATTCTTCTGGAACCTAGGGTTTTTTTCCTCTTCCACGCGGTCGTTGTTCTTGATGCCCGTCGTTCTCGGCCATTGTCGGGTTTTTCTCGCCGATTAAGTACGGCAGTTTTCTTGCTTTACATCCCTCTTACCCATGGTCGTTTTCTTACTGGAAAATTTTCCATCCTCTGCTTTTCCTTATTTATGGACTTTGTGATTTTCGTTGTGGTTGTCGATCTGGGTTAATTTCGAATCGTTTTTTTGCCTATGCGATCTAAAGTTCTTTGGTGAGTTAATTGGTTTTCTTGCCACATGGGATTTTAATTTTTTTTTTCCGTGGTTTATTTGTGGTTCTCTGATGTGTTTTGATTTTTTATTTCAGGAAAAGTTAAGGATACGATCAAACGTTTACTTGTGAGTTTTCTATTTTTCTGATTGTGTGTGATTTAATTTTTTCAAGTTTTGGGTGTACTTTTCTGATCTGCTTTGATTTTTAGTTTGGTGGCTGAGAAAATGTGATTCCATGTTTTGATCGAGTCAAATAATTAAAAAATAAAAGACAAGTGGAGAATTATCGTCGACAGGAGTGGGTGCAAAAAGGGAAGAAAAAAAGCATGAATCTGGAGGATGGAACAAATGGGTTTTCTGTTCAAATCCCACACCCAAATTAAATATAAATTAATTTCTTAATTTCCTTTTAATGGTTTGGAAATCAAGCCTTTTATTTTGTGCATTTCAGTGTTATTTCTTCCTGAGTTGGAAAGTTGAAGTTTCAACTTTTAGCTCAGATCTTAAAGCATCAAAATTTTCACTTTATCAATCCAGTTATTCCGGGCAAGCATAACCTTTATCAACATCCTGTTTTAGAAGAATAAAAGTCATTCTCATGGTCCTTCTCTGGTAAGTGGATAATTGAATATCAGAATTTAAGTTCTGTATTAGTGCATTTCATTGATGATAATCGAATTTTTTTAATCCTTTGTGTTTCAGGAATACATTGTTAATTCTCCGGACTATCGACCTCTGCCGTCTGATTCTCCTCAATGGTGCTTGCACCATTTGAACCAGAGGGAATCTTAAGGTTGATTTCTGCATTTGTCTAACTCTAACTCTATTTCCATCTCTCTCTCACATACAAACACACTATGTCAATGTTAAAACATCATCATTCCTGATTATTCAAAATTGGTCTTTGGTTCATTTTATTAGTAAATTTTCAATTCTCTGATAGCTTCTATTCCATGTTTTTTCGGATTGCATTATAGGCACATACTTTTGCATTTCAAGGTATCAAGCTTCTTCTTGCTAATAATACTAACTATTTGCACTCTAAAAAATTCTTCATTTGATTCAATAGGGTTTTTAATTTCACTTTTTTTTTGTCCCTGTGAAATGTTTTTCCAGGCTATATCATTGGATTGCAATTGGGTATGTTTGCTTTCACCCTCTTAGTTCTCTCATTTTTTTTCATATGGACAATTCCATTTCTTCTTCTTCTTCATCTTACTCTGAACTTCATTCTGTTTTCAGCTGTGGATTCTGGAGGACGTGCTATACACAAGAAGGTAAGATATTCTAGGTTTTTGTCCATATTCGGAATATCCCCAGTTTCAAAATTTTAGGGAATTGATTCATTTCCATTTTACATGTTTAACATTCTTTGGGGTGATGATGACTTGAGGCTGTACAAACTAGAATGGCTATGGGTAGGTTTGAACGTAGCCAAATTTGGGTAAGAATCGTGAAACTCTAATCCTAATTTTCTCCGCTTTTGAATTTAAGAGCAAAAATTGGTGTATTTACACTCTTTTTGGTTGTGAATCATGCAAATAGTTTCTTTGCAGGTATTATGGGTATTTTGACGGAATTAAGGTTTAGGGTTGATGGATTTTAGGTTATTAAACTTGGTTGTGCCTTCTTTTTGGTCTTTGCTGTAATATGTTTTCATATCTCAAATAAAAATTGTATTTGCTTATTTGGTTTTTCAATTTTTGTGCAAATTGGACGGAACTGATGTTTCTGTGTTTCTTCTTAGATTCAACTGATATCATGGTAATTATGCACCTGACCTCTATAGCGTATCTTAATCTATCATCGTTTCACTTACTCAGAGCCAATTGTTGGAGCTTAGTGCTCAATTAGGTGAATTCCAAATGCAAGATCCTCTAATTTCATCTTTTGTGGTTTCAGCAAAGATAATGAATCTTCTTAAAGCATCTATTTTTTTTCAGCATAATTCAGCTTCTCAGTTCATTTCTCAGGTGTAGGTTATCCTCATGTTCCATTTCCATCAGGACTACAGGTGTTTATTTTGGTTTCATGTGTCGTTCTTTAGTTCTAAGTCCTTCGCATGAATGTGTGCTGAAATGTAATGTACAAAACTGGTATGTGCTACTTCTCAGTTTTCTATTTATATGTTTTTGGAATTTTCGGGTGATGGAAATCAACCCGAGTTCATGTTAAAACAATATCATAATTTTCAGTACGGTAAGAACTCAGAACTTAGAACCTGTTTTTTCTTTATCTTTCCCCTTTTGAAGTTAAGGAGTTGAATTACTTTTCTATACATTTTTTGTGATCATTCACTAATAATTTGTTAATTGTTTTAATATATATGAGGTTGGATTTCTACTTTCTAAGATCCATTATCATCTTCGGAGATTACTTGATTTCATATTGTCAAATAGTTTATGAATTTCCATATTAAGTGCATCAATATGTTCTTGATAATTTAATTAAATGTGATATAACTTGAGGTGTGTATACCTTTGAAATACAATTTTTCACACAATTTCTATTCCCGCAGCAACGCGCGGGCAAAACTTTATAGTGATAAAGCTAAATCCAAATCCAACCTATTATCTCTAGGCCTACAACTCCCTTCAGGCCACTGCATGGTAAAACCCCCTCAACACTCAAAACCCCACCTCCCCAAATTTCATTTTTTTATTCAAATTTTGTTGTTCCTCATATCAAAATTATCTCATTGCAGGCCAGTTTGTCCCTGTCTAAGCTTGAGCAGCTTCGTCTCCACCAACGCCGTCAATGGAGCCTACGCTTCTGCTGGACACCTTATCTGTCAGTATTTTAGTTCCATTTGTTTTAAATTCTGATGAAATTTAGATAAAGATTTGTTTTTTAAATGAAGTGTTGGGTTACATTTTTTTTTTTTTTGCTGCAGATTTGCTGCAAATGGCACAGTTCTTGGAAGTTATACACGGAGCAATTGGTAGGTTTTCTGAAAGACCCAATATTTAATTTATTTTTTGTGTTCACAGAAGTAGAACCCAATATCTATATAAGGTATATTTTTCAAATTTATTAGGTTTATGGGTTTTGTGTTTATATGTGTTCTGAAAATTGAGGTCTGGTGCCGAGTGGAGTGGTGTTGCCTCTGATGCAATGGGTAGGAAGGGCGCATTTTTTGTATGTTGTGCGCCAAACCCATGACGTTTTCTTCCTGTTCTTTCTCTCAGTTTTATCTGTTTGTTGTTTTAGTTTCAGTTTAAGCACTAAAAACACTTATGGGTTTGATTATTTGAGATATGACGAGCATTCTGTGAATATGTTACATGGTGAGAGAATGATGAAAGGGATGTTTGTTTAAGCATGGACTTGAATGCATATTATGGCTATTGTTATGGATTTCAAGACCCCAATTTCAAATTCCCGAGATCAAGTAAAGTTGCTAGATAAGATAATTTAAGGATACTAGGTAAAGATCAATAACATATATACTTTAAATCAGTATTCTTTATGCGGTTCAACCCAAACTGGGGTAATCCAGTGACCATGATTTGAACTAAAGGAAGAAGGATAAAAGTATCACAATGAAGAACGTATAGGTTCTTCCTCGTGCAAGTATAATCTTTTCCTGTCCCTTGCATTCAATCAAGAACACTGAATGTATCCCAACCTGACTGGCTATCTAATCTGTGGAGAAAACTTATGCACGAGCGTTCACACATCCTGATGTCCAGGTTCTAATATTCCACATATATCTTTAAGAACTTTGGTAAGAAATATAAAATATGGTTCTGGTAAAAGCCTACAAACCTTTGTTGCCAGTCGTACTTTCTAAAGCTATAAGCATGCGATGTAATCAGATTCATTTTCACTTGAGAAAAAGTACGCAAAGAGAAATCCTAGGTTCTGTAGTTCTGCAGAAGTGCTTAGTTCTTGTGAACTTGTATGAACATTTATGAGGTCTGTTCCTTGTGCACAACTAGTTGCGGACCATAATTTTGAGCATTTTGTAGGTCCAAGAGTTGCCATGAGTCTTCATAACTTTTGTTGCTTGGAGCTTAAGTGAGGTAATTTGGTTTAATATTTATAATGCAATCAAATTTTGTTTAACTAAATAGCGTATTTCAAATTATGATCACAAACCTGTATGCAGGTTATTAGGTATCCACGTTATGCTTTTAATTGCACGGGTAGCTGTCCATCTTGGTTTACCTATCTCAGGTTCTACTCTTTCTCATTATGATGATAAATTCAAAAGTTCACATACAAGCATATAGTTACAATACCACTCAACAAAAAGTTATACAATACAAGCAGAAGAGGATTTTATTTTCAATTATATTATTTTTGTTTTCAACTAGGTACACTGCATTCATTGTCTTGTATCCTCCAGGGATGACTGGTGAAAGTAAGTTCATAGTTTCCATTAGCCTTGGGTTTTGATTTTTGGTTGCATGTACGAGTCCCCCTCCCGTTCTCTGTTGATTTCTTTCTGTAAATGGTCGGTGATTACCATGCAGCCTGGCTTATGTACCAAGCACTTCCTTTTATAAAGAAGAAAAGCCTTTCCTCAGATTTCTCCGCTGGCCTTTTCTTTCAGCTATTATAACTTTCTGAGGGTATGTTCTGATTTTTTTTCCACCATGATATGTTGCTTCTTTCCACTTTTCCAAGTAGGCACTCATGGTAGAGAACAGGTCCAAAACTTTCATATATTTTGCTGACTAAATTTGCACTTAGGAATATTTTCTCAACATATATATGAAGCCTTCAAGTCTAAAAAAAATTCTAGTAACCTAGGATAATTTGGTAGTTCGTCTGCTCTGCTTGGATGTGGTTGGGTTTCGATTAGTAGGTTTTTGTTGGGAAATATAAATTGAAGCGAGCTTCAAATTTTTGCACAGTTTATGAATTCTTAAACTTACCTTATTTCCTCTGTATTTATGCTTAGTGCACATAGTTATTGCGCTTCCATGTTAGCCAAGAAATGATGGACTCAGAAAATATTTACCAGTTTCTTCGAGGTTTTGGGGTGAACCGCCAGTTTGAAACCTGGGTTTGTGTTGGAGTTACACTACTAGGATATCTTTTTATTAACCAAATTTCCCCATGAAAGAAAGAAAATATGAAGTCCATAGTAGGATCTCCCATTTCAAAGTTCGTATTGCCAAGACCTTTCAGTGTCAGATCTGTCCAGGAAAAGTGCCATGGTTTTCTTGGTCCTCCAGTAAGGCGCCTCTATAAATATGTACTCTTTGAATCTGCCATGTGGTTCCTTTAGTCTTCAATGCACATGTATCAAAAACCATGCAACAAGGGGAAACATCTTCTATTTTCTATCAACGCCTTAACTAATGTTTCAGTTATTGTTAGCTTTTATCATTGTGATTAATATCATTGGATTCTTCTTATTCAGGTTTTGCTTGTCTGCTACCTATTCCTCTTGAGTATATTAACTGTTGGAAGTAGATGATATTTTGGCACTTGATGCATTGGATTTCTGATGCACGTAGTAGTGAAATTGTAGCTTAAAAATTGTTATCCCTCTACACAAAAGTGTAATCTAGTTAAAGTTCTATATGTGGTCCGTCCTAAGTGTTGTTTTAAATTTATGCATAACTTACTCATGATACATGTTCCCACTTCTTCCCCCTTGTCTTTCACTTTTGCGATCAAAGTCCCTTGCCTGTGGATGGTTGGACCAGATAGAACCAGTATCAAGGAAGCAGCCCTACAGCCTCTTGTTTAGGTTGGATGTTTGGACAGTATGCCAACTAGCAGGTATGCTTTTAATCTAAGTGTACATTTTTATTATGGTCCGCCAAAGCTATCTCTATGTGCATAGTTCACCCTAGCTTCTACATAGTATATTGCCCCATCTATGATTAGCATCTCAAAGTGTACTCTCTCTCACACACACATAGTTCACTGTGTACATTATGTAAACGCATGCTACAAACTACCGTGGATGTTTTGGAGTTTACCATGTAAACACTCGTGTCATTTGTATGATTATGATTTCACCATCTTAATCTCGTCGATCCAATTCTGTGCATCAACAGTTCTGTGTCATCTTCTTGCCTATTCCATGGCTGATAATATAATTACTCCTTTTCCGCAGGCCATTATTTACTCAACGACATAATCACAATTACCTTTTCCACTCAAGTTACTGTTTCAAACCACCCCCCCCCCCCTTTTTTTTTTTCCTTCCCTCCTTCCTTCCCTCTCTTTTACTGTACCAAATCTTTGGTCTCTTTCAAGATCTGTTGTCGTCTTGTCGTCGACTTTGTCCCTTAGCTTTTAGTTATTGGTTGCCAATGTTGTAGTTGGTGTAATAGGACAACTGGCTCTGTCTCTTCTCTCTAAGCTTCCTGTTGAGTGCTTTGGCTTGCAGGTTATAGGGTGGATTGTAGTCACGGATCCATGAGCTGGACTCTTACTCAACAGCCACTCTATATAGACCACAAAGTTGCCAAATTTTGGTACTTTTGATTTGAATTTTGTTGCCAAATTGTGGCTCATATGTCATTGGTGAAAAAACTCTGTACTTTTAACCTTGTTAATAAGCTTGTTATCAGTCATAGTCAAAATCGAATTGTACGTCTAAATTCCAAGGTTCTAAAAGACACTAGGCACTAGTCGGGCGGCTGGCTGGAGCCTAGCGTCTAGACGGACTAGACGGATGTGTGTAAATCTATTATATTATGTGTGAATAAGTGTCTGCTTATACTTAGAATATATATAATTTCATAATAAACTACAAAATAGAATGACATATATATTATGAAGTATTAGAATAAAATGAAAACATGGGGACCAAGGATATAATGTGCGTTCATTTAAGTATGCAATAAGTCTTTTACAATTTATTAAAAAAATAAAATACAAAATTAAAGTTATATATTGTTTGTCTAATTGAGTCGCGACCTAGGTGGGTTTAGGCAGTGCCTAGGCTGGCGTCTCAGCAGGTCTAAGCACAATTTCTTAATTATCAAACGCTTAGGCATTAATCGGGGAGATGGCCAGCCATCTAACGCCCAGGTGGCGCTAGACGGGAATTTTTAAAACAGTACTAAATTCTAACTTAATTTGCTCATGTGCGCCCTACGTGCAAGGGTAGAAAGGTCATGTTAAACATTGAAGCTTCTTTGACGCTTGAATTAGTCTTGGAAGGACTCTTTTACACCTTATAAGTGATGCACGCATTATTTGAGATTGTTAAGAAATGTAACTACAACGGTATTATTAGGAGTTTTTCCGCCACATTAGATATATAACCTACACCACAACAATGAGGACCTTCATGACACTGGTGCGCCATCATTGTAGCATTATGTACCAAAAGTAAATTGAAATGTCACAGTAACAGTGTGTTTGGGTCATGAGAGTTGCTCTCCACTACCTAAAGCATCTGCTGCTTGCACATCCATCTTTGTTGTCCAAAAAGGCCAGTCTGTATTCTCTTAATTAATAATTAGCTGACTAATTAGCCTTAATTTTTTTAATCAAACGCATGCATGCCACTTTCCACCTAAAACGTTTTTTTTTCCTTTTCAAAAACTGAACACCAATGAACAGAAGAAAAAAACAATACAACTTGCACATCAAATTCAACAATTAACAACATCGAAAATACAAAACTTCACCAAACCACCACCCATTTCATCAACTTGAACTGAAACGAAAAAGAGAAAAAGAGGAGAAATATCTTAGTAGTCTGTGGTGGGGAGCTGCTCGTGGGTGTCTGGGGCGATGAAGATGAGCTCGTAGACGACGGCTGCAATGGCAGCGCCGATGAATGGTCCTAGCCAGTAGACCCAGTGGTTGTCCCATGTCCAGCTGACGACAGCTGGGCCGAAGGAAACTGCGGGGTTCATGGATGCACCGTCAAAGGCACCGGCAACCAAGATGTTGGCACCAACAATGAAACCAATGGCAATGGGTGCAATGGTGCCGATGCTGCCCTTCTTGGGGTCCACGGCGGTTGCGTACACGGTGTAAACCAAGCCGAAGGTGATCACAATTTCGAGGACCACAGCGTTCCATACTCCGACGCCGGACGATAGGGAGAAAGCAGATGTTTCCTGCATCAAATCAATTAACATGTTATAAAAATTGGTTGTTTCGATTGAAAGTGTTAATTAGGGACAATGGGTTAGTGGCATACCAATCCCCCGGTAGCAAGCTTGAGGAGCAAGCAAGCAATGACGGCTCCAATCAACTGGGCGATCCAGTACAAGATAGTCCTGACGAAAGTGATGTGGCCACCAATGAAGGCACCGAATGTGACGGCAGGGTTAACATGCCCGCCGGAGATGTTTGCGGCGATTGAAACAGCGACAAAAAGGGCGAAGGCGTGCGCTAGGGCAGCAGCTACAAGGCCGGCCGGTGTGGTTGATGCACCGTCAGTGAGCTTGTCTGCCAAAATTGACAACACAAGATTAAGCAATGCGCACTACAACATAATAACCAAATAAATAAATATTCTTTTGCTAGAACAGATTTAAAATATGACAATATAATGTGTTTTGAGGGAATGTTACGTAAAACAAAGTGGAAAATGAAAATCGTGACTTTAACACAGATTCGTAAGATTCCTGCTTGAAATATATAATTCGGATTCATAGTTTGACAATAAATATAAATAATGTATTTGAACAAACATCACATAAAACGAACGGGAAATGCAGAGGGTGACTTACTGAAGGCCATGCCAGAGCCTTCACCAGCAAAAACAAAGATGAGGACTGAAATGAACTCAGCAAGAGCCGCTTTCAGAGCATCAGCCTGACCAAACTCAGCTGTGCTTCCCAGTGCAATTCTGTTGATCGCCATTTCGACTTTCGACTTAACCAAAAAGCCTTTAGACTGTCGCAAGAGGAAAATAAGCTGCTTTTGCTCACAGTGTTTATGGTTAGTGTCACAGTGACAGTTATATATAGGGGTTCCTAATGACAACTTAAACACGATGCGTGACCGGACTAGCCGGTTTCCATCCGGTGACACCGGAAATTCAACGACATGTACAATTGGCGACCACCTGTCATTGTATGAGTGGGCTAGTAGGCGGCCCTCCAATTTGTTCTCATCTTGCCACGTGGACGGCTGATGTGACTTGGAAGCTAGACTGATCAGCAATGATGGAGAAGTTTGATCACGTTCACCGGCCAATGTTTTGCCTTGGCGCCTTTGCGGTAGTCGGTCCTCCCCAATGATTGTTGTCATTTAGACCGACCAATATTATTTTATTTATAATTTTGTGGCTAAGTGTGATTAGTTGGTGCTGGCTTCACTTCTTGTCTTTTATCATGCACTAATTATCCAACAAAAAAGAGTTATCAACGTAATTATAGTGATTGAATTCATTTTCCATTGAAGTTAAGTTAGAGCAATATTGCATTGGTCAAAATGCGTGATCCTTCAAAGTTCAAACTCAATGATTTACTTATTTCCTACATTGTTTTGTTGTTGTTGGGTACATTGCTAAATTCAAATAAACACGAGTGAAGGCTATTACTCCTACTTGCCGTTTATTCTACTTGTATTGTTTTAAGAATTTCTATGAAAGCTCTTCTTGAGTATAACTGTCATGAGGGCGAGATGTTTGATAAAGTCCCAAAAAATTAAGGTAGGATAGTTGAAGGCAAAACGTAGACTTTTGAACTATTGAGCAAGAAGGTGAGTGATGCAAACATGGCATAGGTCATGTACTTAGCACGAAAACTTCATAAATTCGCTATTGATTGAGTAGGTATAAGGTCAAAAGAGAAAATGATGCGATTGTAAATGTTGGGATAATTGTTTTTTCTCCAAACGTTACAAGAGTTTGATTGCAAGTGAAATTACTTGTAAATAAACAAGTTGATGGTAACATTTATGTGAAGATATTTCAATAAAAAAACAAACAAAATGCTTTACAACGAAGCATGTAATTATCATATAAATTGATGTGATTAATACATTCAAATTGGGGGCCGCGGGGGAATTAGCATTGGTATATTCTTTAGGGTTAGGTTGTAGTGCATCTACATGATTTTTCTCTAATCCATTGTTAAAACGAAAAGGACGAACTATCAATGTCATCTGATAATGAGTAGCAAATAAGCAAATTACATCGTATTCTCATGGGATTACCAAAAACTTGGAGATCCAACTACAAGAAGACAAGTAGTCTGATACAATATGCTTTGTTACTTGTTACTTTCCATTATTTCCATGGGAATTGGCTTACATGACATTAGAAAAATGCTAAAGAGATTCTCTCAAAAGTGAGACTTTTCATGAACTCTTCGTCACCTTATGTTTTTTGCACAATTCTCATGCCAACATTATAGAAATTGTGTAAAACATATGAGATGCTGAAAAGTCCAAAAGAATCCTACTTTGAGAGAGTCTTAGAAAGTATAAAATATAATTTGGCCTTATATTAATAGGAAAACTAATGAAAAGTCTAAAAAAACTTTTATTTTAATGAAAAGTCATTTTTAAAGGTATAGTGAATAACATTAGAGAAAGGTATAAATGTGATTTTTCGTTAAAAGTGAACAGTACCGGGAGTGTTTTGTTAAAACTCCCATTATTAATAGCATGGTCGATTAAAATAGGGGTGGTCAAAAATCCGTCAAACCAACTAAATCAAACAAATTCGATTAGTTTAGTCCAATTAATCCAAAACCTATGGTTACTTTTGACTTTATCTCTCCTGCTTTTTGAAATCCATTGAGTTTATCATTGATTGATGTTAACAAGAAGGGTGACTTACGGCCTAATATTTGGGTTTTACATTCTCCTGCTTGTTGCTCCCCTTCTGTGATTTCTTCTACAAGACAACAAATTACTATTTAGGCTTTTGATGGTGTCCTTTCTCAGTTCACTATTGTTTATGCGGTTATTACTTCCAATTCGTTCTTATACTATTGTACCTTGGATGGCAATTGGCGATTTTAACACTATTCTTGGAGCTCATCAACGGGTGATTGTTTGCCAGCTCGAACTTGTTGTGAGGATTTCTGCAATATTACTGAGCTTTGTGATTTTACTCATATCGCCACTGCTGGTACTTACTGTACCTGGGCTAGAGGTCGAGGTGTTCATGGTCATATGGAGAGGCGTCTTGATACATCTTTATGTGACACCCGTTCGCTAGAGTTATGGCCTCACACTAGTTGTGCTGCTTTGCCAAGACTAGTCATTGGTCATGATTGTTCAGCCTCGATTATTTTACCAGGAGCCCTAGGACTTTTCGGGTTCAATCTATGTGGACTTAGCAGTCTATAATTGCATATTGTTGTCGCATGTTTGTTATGTTGCAGAAGCTTAAGGCCTTAAGCATTTTCTTGGGGGTTTGAAATTCTCACGTTTTTGGAGATGTTCATTAGAATGTCACTATTGCTAAGGAGAATTTTAGGACTATTCAAAATATTATTGCTTCCAATTGGCTTACTCAATAGAGGCTCCGAACCCAAGTCAAATGGCTTACTAAGGGTGATCGTAATACTGCTTTTTTTCATGCTTATGCCCGTGTTAGGTCTTCATCTTAAAGAATTGCTACTCTAATGGATGGTGATACTATGCTCTGTTCTCCGACTGATATTGTTGATCATGTGGTAAATTTTTATCAGTCTTTATATAATTCTTCCTTCACTCTTTCTAGAATTGATGATGCATGTAGTGTAATTCATCTTATGGTTAGTGAGGAGGAAAATTCAGTCCTTTGTTCTCTACCTTCAGTTG